CCCTCCCTCTTGGCCCCATCCGTTTCTTTGACGCTTTTCTCAGAACGCTGCATAAGCGTGACAGAGGGGCTCCTGCGGTGCATGGTGATAAAGATGATGATGGCAAAGGAGTGGTTTTGCTGGGGTCCGCCGGGCCCGCCATGGGTGGGGAGCGCCTGTGAGGTAGACCGCGCGCCGGCAGCCGTGCGCGTCGTGCCAGACATTGCCTACCCGACAGGCGCTCTGCCCGGCCGCGCCGCGCTCCAGGGGGCTGCTATGTGCCCCACTGCCTTTCGAGCGCGTTCAGCTAACAGCAAACGGTACAAGTGAAAAGGGTTGTTTTAACCTTCGATCAGCAGTTGGACAGCCTCAGCAGCAGCGGTGCCACGATTGCAGGGGAGCGCCTGTGAGGTAGGCCGCACGCCGGCAGCCGTGCGTGCAGCGCCGCATATTTGCCTACCCGACAGGCGCCCCGCTCGGAGGCAGCAGGCAGCATGTGACGGACGGACGCAGGGAACATTTTCGACAGTCCCCAAGACTGTCTCTACCAGAAGGAAACGTGGCCTACACCCACACCCCTCCTCGCTCTCCCCCCTTAGAACAGGGCCACACGGGGGCTCGGTTGTGGGCTTGGGGCGGCAAAGCGCTGCGCTCAGTTTCTCTTTCTTTTGGGGGGTGCCTTTATTGCATAATGCGCGTTGTCCTAAACATCTTTGGCTATTTCCATAAATTCTTATCAAATAATTTTCCAGGTAGCCATTTTATGCTTACTTAAAAAATTCTTTCTTGAAATAAACGCCCAGCTCATGTTCCCTCTGCCTCGCAGGTGGTTCTGACCGTGTGCTACGCGGTGGGCATCGCCGGAAACCTGGCGGCGCTCGTGATCCTGGTGCGCGGCGGGCGGCGCGCGCACCGCAACCGCCGACATTCGCTCATGCTGCGCTGCCTGGCCTGCAACGACCTGGTGGCGCTGCTCGGCATGCTCCTCACCATGCAGGTAAACGTTCAAACAAGTTTTTCAATCAAAATAACTTTCAGGTGTTGGGCGTCCTATGATTAGGAAGTGTTTGTCAGAAGAGTTGAACACAACTTGCAACTTGAACGCTTAGATGTGTTTACTATAGTTTTAATAACTTGAATTATACATGTAATAATTAAAAAGTTAATTTTATAAAAGTTAATTGTAATAACAAATAATTATTTTTTTTTGCTGCTGTATCATCAGGCGCAGCTGCGCCTCCCCCAGGACCTGGTGCGCTCGCGCCCCTTCTGCGGGCTGCGCGTCTTGTGGCGCCTCTTCGGCCTGGGCTCCGGCTCCGTGGCGCTCGTCATGGCGCTGGAGCGGTGGCTAGCGCTCACCAGGCCCTTCCTCTACCAGAAGGTGAGCGGGGCGGGGCGGGGCAGGGGCGGGGTGGGCGGGGCGGGGCGCCGCCGCGAGGCGTCCCCCTTGGAATACCGCGCTATTCAGAATGTGGGGGGAGATGGATGCGCTCCCCGGGGCGGAGGTGGTGGCGCGGCGGGGCGGGGACAGAGATCGGTGAATAATGGGGAAAAATTCTAAATTTTAAACGCAAAACGGTTGGCGGTGGCGCGAAATGACGCGCGCCGGCCTACACGCTCGAGGACACGGCAGGGCGCTAAATTAAAGGCCCCCTCTCCTCCCCTTCCCACCTCCTGCCCCCTCTCTTCTCGTCACCACTCGTCTTCGCGAGCCGCATGAGGCGTCCGCCGCAGGGGAGCGGCGAACAAACCACTAGAAAATACGACGCTTTCTTTGCGAAAGTGACACGCGGAAAGAAGCGGGCTCGCGTTTTAGAATGTGGTGCCGAATAAGATCTGTCGGCGCCCGCAGCTTAATCGCGTTGAGTACCACGTGACCACACCATGGCCACAATGTGTTTGCGACTCCCCTGAGGCTGGCGCCACGAGGTCCTGGTCCTGGCACGGGGCGGCGGCCGCGGGACATCAGTCAAGTTGTTCTGTTCTGGACCACGCGGCGTCCACCACAACACAGCCAATGGCGCCAAGCTTCGGGGGCGGGTGCGGTCGCTTTGATGCATCGCCTGCACTGCACGACTTAAATTCGTTTACTCAGCCACGGGGGGGAAGGGGGGTATCACTCTCGACGCGCAGATGTGGAAGAGACACAACCCTTCCGCCGCCGTCTGTGAGGCGAGCCATGCACACGCGCGGCGAGGAAAGCTGTGCCCCCTCCCCCCTTCCCCCGCGGTGTCCCCGCGTCTTCCTCGGCTTCCTCTCATTTGCCTACACAGCGAGCGAAGGCGCCGACAGCCCACCCCTCTCCTCACTCCCAAAGAGTCAAATCAGTCGTATCGTCTCGTTTACGGCCGCGAATGGGCTGGGCTCAGTGAGGCGAGCGGCCTTCTGCGCGGCCCGACACCCGCCACCCCCGCACGCACCCCGCACCCCGGCGTGCGCAGGGTATATGTGTACGCTTGGTAAGTTTAGGAATCGCTCATTTTACTCCCGACGTCGAGTCATGTGGGGCCAGCAGAGGGGCCTAAACTTGCTTCGCGATACAAACGGAGTTGAGTTGCGTTCCGAGTTCCGCCTGGTACCGAGTGTACCTGTTAAAAACTTGCGAAGTCAGATTGAGAAAATCCATGAAATAAAACTACTGGGCCTTGTAAACGTGAGCGAGCGGGAGAGAGACGGGACTAGGACTAAGCATGAGTATAGCGCAGGCAAAGGAAAAAGAAGTCGGTCGCAAGTTGTGGTCCCCCGCACCTTCGCAGTGGGGGCGGGTTCGCGTTACCGCCCTGGCTGTAGCAGCGAGTTAGCAGACATCGCCTACCCCTGTCACGTCGTCACACCACGTGGAGAGAGAGAGAGAGAGAGAGAGAGAAAGAGAGGTTGGGAGAGGAGGGGGGAATAAGAGTCGGCGGCTGTTGAATTCGATGGCTGCTCAGGACGTGTTCGCGAGGAAAGGGGCGTGATGGCACATCGTTTCATACGGGGACCTTCTGATCATCCCACACAAAATTGCCAACTTATATTTTTAACAAGTATACCAGGTTGCTGATTCACGCCGAGCACTTTCGTAGTTATACTGTACCGCATGCACGCGTGTAGACGGGTTGCCTACTCGCACGGGGCCAAAAGGAGCCGTGGCCAGCCGAGCATAGGCAAACCCGCCCGCACACGTGCATGCGGTACAGTATAACTATGAAAGTGCGCGGCGTGAATCAGACACCTGGTATGTTCACTGTTATTACAGGAAAATTATGTTCACAAGCGCATAAGCTTTGTGTTTGAACTAAGATTTTGTTAGTTTGTGGCTCGCGCCTCGGTGGAAGGCCCGACCCAGCCCACCCGGGACTCCTCCCCGCTGTATATGCATGAGGGCCTGCTTCGGGTGGCGCAGGGCCGCAGGGCCGCAGGGCGCGCCGCTCACACCGCACTGGCACGCTCCACAACAATTATTATGCCGCTCGTCACGCAGCGAGAAGTCTTCACTTCTTCGCAATATATTAGTAATTCTGTTCTAAAAGAAAATTCTCATGAAGAGAAAGCCATATTTAGGGTGTCTTTCCTCGCTTGCTTCCTGAAAAGTTCGAGTGACAAATTTATTATGCTGTTATTCTAGTATCTCGTATTTCGTGTGTTCTAGGTCAGAGTTTATGTTTAATGCATCATCCCCCC